ATGTACAAATGTGCTTTATACAATTGATGTATTATGGATTGTGATAAGAGTTGTATGAGCCCCTAATAAAACGATTGGGGAAAAAAAGCCAAGAAAAGGTTTTTTACAGAAGGAAACATTCTTTAATGGTTACCAAGGATGGGAGACAAAGGGAGGCGAAATAACTAACTGAAAAGTAAGACATATGCTAACTTGTGTGAAGGGGAAGACAGTATACAAGAAAGAGGAAGGCAGCATAAAATGATCGTGGCAAAGGAACACATGGGAAGGAGCACAAGAGTGTAAGACCAGATAGGGACATATTCCACACACAATCCTGCAATAACAGTAATAACTATAGTCTACAGGAAGTATATAGGTGGACATGAAACTGAAGAAGTATGAGAAGGCAAATAGGACTACACCCACAAGTATTTATAGGGTGGACAGGATATTTCCACACATATAAATACATGTGCTGCCTGTTTCCATGAATATAGTAGAGCATACAGTTATGAAAACTTCTTGATCATAAGAAGTCACTTTGAGGACTCACTCTGTACCTGGAAACTCGGAATCATAATCTCAGAGGACGTAAGGTCAGTTGGCACAAACTAGTTCACTGATAAAATGTTCTCCATCCTCTGATGAGTAGACTGGGTCTTAAAGGTGACCACCAAGGTGCAGCCCTTCGTCTCTCCCAGTCCGGAGGAAAGAAGAGTGAAGAAGACGGAACTATCATGGAAACAATTAGCTCAATGCATTAATGCACCATGCGAACTTCAGTCTCGACTCTGAGGCCAGAAGACCTGCTCTGAACGGGATTATGTTACAAGGTCCCAGATAGTGTGAAAAAAATGTAGAACGATTCAAAGTCATAAACCAGACCAGGTGTACTGGTTGGATAGAGATAGGTGGGATGCCACCAAGACTGTGGCTCTCAGTTACCTTCCATGTCTAGAACCAAGCCCACCCCTGTAGTGGACTAATTATCCACTTAAGATCAAAAGAGCAGCACTGACCCCAGGACAAAGTTCAGAGAGTTATGAAAGGGGGAATGGATACTGGAAACACCAGGAGCAAGAAGCATAAGGAGACTGAGTGAGGTGAAACAAAATGTACAGGGATTGCTGACTGTGAAAAGGATGGATGGTCCGCTCTTTAAACGTTTGCCTAATTCACAATTAAGTGTTTTTTTAAGCTGCTCAGGGTCTCAGCCAATATCAGAATGTGGTTCTACTGCGCTGAAAGCTAGAGTGTTACCTTCTCATTCCAAATATGTTCACTTGTCACTGTCTTATCTATGCACAGTCAGCATTTGTCTAAACCAAAAGAAATTTCTCATTACAAATATTATAGTCTTGTGGACCTGTTTTTAAAGTAGTTGGACAAAATCCAGATATTTCAGAAATGGATGGGACAACCTCCTCCTACTACAAGAAGCTTAAATCAGAGCATTAAATAAATTACACTTGAGATAGTTAAGGTTTATTATGCCAACCTGGCCGATACACACGTGAGATTAATTGAAGGGCGGAGAGATATATGGCTCGATGAGCCTCGCCTTTCTTATTCTCAGATGGTCAGACCAGTGTGCTTCAGCTGGCAAGGCTGACTTCCTGCAAGACATCCCTGAGGAGAAGCCACATGGACCTACCCTGATGCAGCCGTGGGGGCTGGAGCAGCCACGTGGAGACTGCTGCCAGCGCTGAGATGCTTACACCACCACTGGATTCAAAGACTTTCTACCCACCAGCCTGTGATCCTCGCATTCGGCATCATTGTGTGTGTTTTGTGAGTTTGAGGAAGACTTTGTAGATCGGTGTCAGACATATAAGCTAACTCAGACTTGAACTGGACTGGGTTGGGATGCTTTCTGAAGGTACACTTAAACCCTATGTATAAAAACTCTCTCTTATACATATATGGGTTTCTGTGGATTTCTTTCTCTAGTTTACCCAGACTAACCCAATAGTCTTCAATGGTTATAAAATAAAAAATAAAAAAGGAAAGGGGTTTAGTAGATATTTCTCCAAAGAAAATATACAAATGGTCAATAAACACATGGAAAGGTGCGCCCTATCATTAGTCATTAGGGAGAAGCAATTCAAATCACAATGCGATACTACTTTGTACCCAGTAGGGACTATGATCAAAACCACAAATAATAAAACGAGTTAGTGAAATTTTAGAGAAATACTCAGTAACCTTAGAAATGATAGCATAGCTCCACATAATCAGGGTTCCTGACATTCTCCAAGGAGGCCTGGATTGGGTCACATGTTGGATTGCTAGCTGAAAGGTCAGCAGTTTGAAACCACCAGCTGCTCCGAGGGAGAGAGATGAAGCTTTCGACGCCAATAAAGAGTTACAGTCTTGGAAACCCACGGGGACAGTTCAACCCTGTCACAATGAGTTGGGATTGACTCAATGGTATTACTCCCAGATAATGAATTTGGAATTTTGGGGAATATTCTCCTCTCCCTCAATGAGCCAACCAGTAACAGGTGAACTTCATGGGCTCGAGGATCAAAAGGTCTGAGTTCATACGTATCCCAGCTCTGCTACTTATCCTGTGTAAGTTTTTGCCAAGTTTCTTATCTGTCTCATTTTATTCATCTTAAAGCAAGATTGCTATGAAGATTAGCTTAGATAACATAGGGAACACTTTTAACACAGTTCTTGTCACATAGTAAATGCTCAATCCGTATGAATTTTTTGTATGTGGAAATGTTCAGGAAGTGTTGGTTGACTATTATTTCTATGAATAACTATTATTGCTCATGGTTATTATTATTAACTCCACTAGCACTGTTCTTTGGTAACCACTACCAATGTGATGTAAAGCTGTGAGTAAGACAAAGTGGTACTGATGAGCTCACAAGTCTCAGAGTCACCTACGTGACTCAAGTAGAGAAAACATCACAGCGGTTACGTAAACGTATATATCTTGGCCAACCTTAAAAATGGTACTAAGTAAGACGAACATGACGACATTGTTACAATGGAGAGAGATGGGGGTTTAGTGCATTTTACTTAAATGTAATAATACTCTATTTCTAATTTGCAGCTTCTGCAACCTAACAACTATATTTGCAATAGAGACCTTTGGATTTATTTCCAGGTAATGACTAGTGCCTAATTAGGATTTAATAAGGGAAATGTTAAAAGATATAAGTGCCAACTGAAAAGGAAAAAGAGCTTTTCTCCCATGTCTTTCAAAACATAGCCCTTGTAGTGGGTCCTCGCTGGAACTCTTATTACACAAAATTATTATAAAGGGCATAATGGAACTGAATGCTGACAAAAAGTGTATGAAATGCTCACAGCAAAGCCAGTGACTTTTATAAATCTTTATGTGTGGGTGTTTTTTGTTTGTTTTGCTATCTGTGAAGTCTGTGTTCCAAAATGACAGAAAGTTGCTATTTCCTGTAACCCTAATGCCTTTGCCCTATAATTGACATTCTAAAACGTATTTGTGTTGAGTACCATGTTTCATGTATACCATGCCCACATAAATAATGCATTTGTGCATTAATGCATGTAGAATGCATAGGAAGCTAATCTGAAAGGGGCCATATGATAAGCAAAAATGGTATAATGTGCATTATTTGTACAAAAATCCAGAATCTCAGATCTCTGGGTGACACAAATAGTTAACCACTGAACCAGTAGCTGGAAAGTTGGTGGTTTGAACCCACACAGATTCACCTCAAAAAGCAAGACTGGCAATCTGCTTCCTGAAGGACGCAGCCTTGAAAACCCTATTATTTCTTGAAAACTCTATTATTTCTATCAAAAGTTATTATTGTTATTATTATTACCACTATCATTGTGCCTTGGTAACTGTTTTCCTAGTACACATCTCTTTCAACTCTGCCTCATGGGCAGATGTCCAAGGTTACATGTGGAAGTCGATGGAAGGCAGTGGCCATGTCCTTAGATGCTAACCCCGAGTCTACTGTCACCCACCAACCAGCATTCTGGTTGTCCAGAAAATAGACAGTCAAGGCATTTCCATGTACTTGGCTCTCCCTTCCCTTGGAAAGCAGAGTTGTTATTGTTATTTTTTTAAAACCTTTAATATTAAAGTTGGGACTTTAAATTACTTTGCTTTTCTGCCTTGGACCTGGTGTTTATTTTCTAAAATGTTCAACCAAAGTGAAAAATAAACTAGTAAGATACTTTGGGCCCTACTTTAAATATTACTGACAGCTTGATAATGGAAGATTAATTGTATGAATCTTAAAAACAAGAGTTGTTTTGTAGTAAATTTGAGAGACACATATACCCTTTTATGTTTGATGTAGGTGAATATCAGAAAGAGTTGTGAATTCCACTCACAGTGACTCCATGAGACAGAGTAGAGCTTCCCCAGGAGGTGTTCTAGGCTACATCTTTATGGGGACAAATTGCCTGGTCTTTTCTCTCATGGAATGGCTAAAAATTAACAACCTCGCAGCCATCAAATCCATTTTGATTCATAGGAACCAAAATCTCTATGTCCTTCATTTTTTCTTCCAATTTCTGGTAATCCCAGTCATTTCTTGGGCATCCTTTGGGATAGTTGTTGAGCATTGGGCTGCTAACCTCCGCTGTTCAAAACTACCAACCATGCAAAAAAAAACAAAACAAAACAAAACTACCAACCATGCCATGGGAGAAATATGAGGCTATGTACTCTTGTAAAGGGTTATAGTCTGAGAAATGACCAAAAAAAAAACCTTTTCCTTTTCCTGAGGCATGGCTGGTGGTTTCTAACTGCTGACCTTGCAGTTAACAGCCTGACCTGTAGCCCTTTTCCAGGGAGCAGTGTCACAGTTCAAGTCATAACACACTTTTAGCAGGATGCCCTGACCTCTCTGCATTTGGTCCCAAATCGGTACAGTGCCCAGCAACCTGCTTTCTTTTTGTCTACTCTTGGGCAGTCCAATACTAGTAAAAATGTTACACAACAGGGCAGATCAATGAACTTCCAATACCAACACTCCCTGGGAATCTTACTATCCCTCTTTTTTGGTTGGCCTTTGATTTGTTTTAATTAAACAAAAATTTTAACAGTTTTATTGACACATAATCCACATACCATAAAATTCAATGGGTCAATGATATAAAGAAGAGTTGTACAATCATTGCCACCATCAATTTTAGAATGTTTTCTTTTTTCTTGTAGTTATTGTTGTTCGCTCCCCTTTGTCCACCCCTGATTCTCTCCAGCCATGTTCCTAGGGAATTATTAATCCATTGACTGTCTCTATAGATTTACCTACCCTGGATTTTATATACTGAAAGACATAAACCAAAAAGTAACAATAACTAAATAAAACAGAGGAAACCGCTCAATCAAAAAGAAGTTGAAATATTTAAAACTGGAACAACTTTAACATGGGTCAAAAGAGAGATCAAATGATAATGTGCTAGCTTTTAACCTAACTACATCTGCCATAATCCACTTTCCAATGCACTATGCATGACAGCAAGGATATTCGCCTCCCTGGTGTAAGATCAGAGAGGATTCTCTGGAGTCTTAATCCACATGTATTCACCCTTCCCCGCTTCCCCTCCACCATTTTTTGGTTTTAACTGAAACCATTTTTAAAATTTTAACAAATAATTTTATTGGGGGCTCTTACAGCTCTAACAACAATCCATACATCCATTGTATCAAGCACATTTGGACTTATGTTGCCATCATCATTTCCAAAACATTTTCTTTCTACTTGAGCCGATGGTAACTGAAACAATTTTTAAATGGATCAAAAAAGATGCTAAATTTAACCTAATTATATCTACCATAATCATCTTTACCATGTTCTCTGTCTGATAACAAGGCTTTTCACAAGAAACCATTAATCCAGTTACTGCCTCTAGAGAGTCACCCAGCCTGGATTTTATAAACTGAAACACATACTGAAACAAAGAATCAAAAAGGCTAACAACAATAACAAAGTAAAATAGAGGAGGGAAATCCAGCTGGAAAGGAAACAAAAAATATTAAAAACTAAAACAAATTGAAAATGGACACCTATGACATTATTGATCACAATTTCATACATCCTAGTCCCTCAGGGCACCTCAATTCTCTGCTGCTGTCAGGTATCATCAGGAAGTTCCAGCTGAGAGTAACCCTCTGAGGAGCAGAGCCAAACACTGCCGGGGAACCAACACAAAACAAATCATTGTCCAGTCCTGTGCCGTGCTCACAAGTGTTATGCTGGAACTCATGGCAGCCGCTGTGTCGGGCCATCTTGTTGAGGATCTTCCTCTTTCTCCCTGACCTACTACTTTAGCAAGCATGATCGCTTTTACCAGGGTCTGCCCTCCCGTGATAGCGTGTCCAAAGCACATAAGACAAAGTCTTACCATCCTAGCTTCTAAGAAGTATTTTGGATGTCCCTTCTTCCAAGACAGATTTGTTAGTTATTCTAGAAGTCCGTGACATCTCGATATTCTTTACCCACAGCATCCTTCGAAGGCACGGATTCTTCTTCTTCCTAGCTCATTGTTCAGCTTTCACATGCACGTGGCCCAAGGCTTTGGGCAAGCACACCTTAGTTCTCAATGTGACGTCTTCACTTTAGAGCAGGTCTTTTGCGGCAGACCTGCCCAGTGCAAGGTCACATTCAATGTTGAGACTGCTGCTTTCCTGGGCATTGATTGTTGAATCCAAATAAAATGAAATTCTTAACAACTTACTCATACAGCTGGGTGGATTTTTCTTTTCTTTCTTTATGTTGAGATGCAATTCATGCTGAAGGCTATTGTGTCCGATCTCCAGCAATAAGCACAAGTAAGTCTTTGTCGCTTTCAGCCAGCAAGATTGTGTCATCTGCCTATGTTGAACCTTCCTCCGATCCGAGTGCTTCATTCTTCTATACGTAGTCCTTTCCGCCCCCCGCCCCAAGTATTTGCTTACCCTACACATTGAATATGTATGATGAAGGGATACAACATTCACCCACACCTTTCCTGATTTTAAACCACTGTGTCTCTTTTCTCTGTTCAAATTACTGACCCTTGCCTATGTACAGCTCTCACATAAACAAAAGTGTTCTGGAATTCCAATTCTTTTGAATGTTTTCCATAGTTTGCTGTGATCCATACAGTCGAATGCCTTTGCAAAAATATTTGTTACAAATAAACATCTTTCTGGTATTCTCACTTCTCTTGCCCTCCTCCAATCTCTCTGGTCACTTATTCTGAAATTCTACTCTTAAATCATTAGTATTCCTTAGAATTTGCATATCAGTTCTCTCCTAAGCTCTACATCAGTTCTCAGGGCCTTTTCATCACATTTCACTGTCTGAAAAACTTATTTATCTATAGCAGTTCTTGACTTGTGTATCCACTGAAAATCTATGTAAAATGGATGTGTTTGTGCATATGTGCAATTCCCTGGATACAACAGCATTTAAAACTGAAATAAAGTTAAAAATGACTAATTTACATTAGTTTGAATTATGATACTGTCGAAGAATATGCGAAGTATAGACTGCCAAAAGAACAAACAAATCTCAACTAAGTCCACATGGAATAAGCACACCAGGCTTTAAAATCCAATGATAATAAATAATAAAATCCAAATTCAAAGGAAGGAATGGTATCAAAGCTTAAATTGCGAACATCCAATTTGCAGAAAGCTATGGATGACAGTGGGAGCCCAAAATCTATTTACAGAGTCCCCACATGGATTAAGTATCTGGTGAGTCCCCTCTGACCACAGTTGAGGGATATGAATCACCTTACTATCAGATAGAGATTATTCTAAACTGGATTATGGTAGATGTTATTAGGTTAAAATGTAATCCCTGATCATTTGATCTCCCTTTGACCCCTTTTAAATTTGTTCTAGTTTTTAGTGTTTACTGCTTTTATCTCACCAGAAGTTTTCCCCCTGATTTAATATTTATTTGTCTTTCCTTCTTCTTAAATATATTTGCTGTGTGTGTGTGTGTGTGTGTGTGTGTGTGTGTGTGTGTGTGTGTGTGTTTTCTAAGAGATGAAGCCCAGGATAAGCAAATATACAGAGACAGTAACTGGTAACTGATGTAATGGCTTTTGGGGGATAGGGTGGAGAGGTTGGAGGGAAATGGGGAGCAAATAATGAATACAAGAAGGAAAAAGGTGTTCTGGAATTGATTCTAGTAATGCATATACAACTTTTTTAATGCAGCTGACCAAATGTAAGATATATGAATTATATCTCAATATAACTATTTTTTAAAAAAAAGAACAAACAAATCTGCTTGGAAGAAGTCCAGCCTGGATGGCAAGACTTCATTTCAGTTACTTTGGAAAAGCACATCATGCTTGGTAAGCAAAAGGTCAGCAAAAAAGAGGAAGTCCCTCAATAAGCTGGATTGACGTGGTGGCTGCAACAATGGGCTCCAACCTATGGACAGTTGTGAGGATGGTGCAGGACCAGGCATTATTTTGTTCGGAACAAAATCAATGGCACTTAGAACAACAACAATAATTTATATATTAATGATTCTCAGGTCCATAACTCAAGGCCCAATTACTCTTCTCTTTTTCATACCCATATAATCACTTGATTGACTCTCAGATGCCTCAATACGTCAAAAATCGCACCAACCATATTCATACACCCCCTTTAAAAACGTCTCTTACCTCTGAATTTCCTATGATCAGTGAATGATGACACCATCCTCAGGTCACCCAGCCCGAAACCTGGGAGATACCCTTTAGTGCTTTGTATTTTTCAAACCGCACACCTGAACAACCGCATGCCCAATTTAGTCTAACTTTTAAATATAACTACATATCCACATTTCTCCATTTCTTCAGCCACTACATTAATTCATTTATCTTGCTACCTCCACACTAATGTACCCCTTTTTATCCACTCTTCACCCTGCAATAAGATCATCCACCAAAAATGTTCATCTTTTCCGATGGCAGTAAAAAACAGAAAAGGAAATCTTTCATCATAGCTCCCTTTAACCATATGGCTATCTCTGCTTTCCCTGGTTTGATAGAAGGCATCTTTCTTATCTGCCTTTACCTGCCTGTTATTCCTCATCTCTCACCGCTTTGCCTCCTACCTGATCTCTGTCACACTGAACTAGTTGCAGTTCTAGAATGTCTGGGAGTGGTTTCTATCTTAGGCTCTCATGCTTCTACACCTGTATCTATGCCCCTCTCTCTCTGCCTCTCTAGTCCCTTGCCCCCAGACGTTCTTATCCAATCAATTCCTACCCAGTTCTCCATACTCAATTCAAGGGTCACCTCCCATGGAATGCCATCCTTGCTGCTCAGCTTACGCTTCCTTCTCCCATTATATTTACCCACTACTGTATTTGGTTCTCTGGCCAGCCTGAGGGTGGAAATCCTGTCTCATTAGTCTTTGTTCTCTACCAATGGCATAGTAGCTATCAATTAAGAAATAGTTTGACTAAGTCAATTAACAACCAATATAAAAACAATGATTTATAATATTTTCTCTTTTTTTTTTTCCAGACCAAGTGGCTACCTGGTAGCTTCTTTTCTCTTTTTCCTAATGCTACTGTTCTTCAGTGTTTTGGTTTTGAGCTACTTCCAGTATATGAAGATTTATAGAACATATATTTATGAACCACTTCACAAAACTCAAAGAAAACAAAAGAAATTGTAGGTGGGCCTAACGTTATTTTATGGGTACATGTATATAGAGGGAGTCTATATATTTATATACTTCTGTTAAGAGCATGCATTTGACCAAGAAATACTCAGTACATGCTCATAGTAAGTACCATCAAGTTCAAGATGTGAAAATCTTCAATGATTCAAAGAAATATATTTTTATATATATATTGTTATGAGATTAATTCTTATGTGTTGCATTCCTCTTACAGGGTCTCTATACACTCTTACTATGGCAATTTTAGAAATTAAATTTGGCTATTATAATTCTTCTGGAGAATAAAAGTATTTTATTTCAAAAGTGTAGAAAATATCAGTTATTTTACATGAGATGTTAAATGGCTGTAATTCATTCATGTATAAAAGACAATAAAAGTGTGTGGATATGAATCATCTGTAACTTATTCTTAAATATAGTTTATAAGTTTTTCTAACACTAGATTGACACATGGATGTGTATCTACTTTTATTAAAATTCCATTCTGATGCTCAAAATAAGCTTCTTAATTTATTCAAATGTTATCATAGCTTTTTTAATAATTAGTATTTGTGTTAGTCAGGGTCAACCAGAGAAACAGAACCAGTATGATTTATATATATGAACTAATAAGATAGATAGATTATTAAAAAGGAAGGGCTATATGTTATTGTGGAGCTGGCTAAGCAAGTCTGAGATCCATAGGGTATGTGGTCATTTAGGATGGATCACCAGGGAGATGGAATTCCCTAGGCACAGTCTAACACTTTTGTCCACAAAGAGAATTTCTTCTTTTACAGAATGAGGAACAAGACAAGCTACTTGCTAGTCATCATTGTTCTGATATTCTGATACTACAAAAGTAATCAGTATAAATATTGGGGGGAAAGAGATAGCATTCTTTCTTTCACTAATAAGATTATATGCCTAAAAATTCAAAACCAGTAACTAGAATTGTTAAGATAATTTGATGGCTCAATACAAGACAAATATTTAAAAATAAATTCCTTTATATACTAATGGTAACTTCTTAATAATAAAAAGTCTATCATGGTGCGTGTTAGTCCAGGTTGACCAGAGAAACATAGAAACTCATATGTGTATAAGAGAAAGTTTTATATAAAGGGTAATGATACATTAAGAAAGCATCCGAACCCAGTTCAGTCCAAGCCCATAAGTCCAATATTAACGCATATGTCCCATACCAATCTATAAAGTCCTCTTCAGACTCAGGAAACACATGCAATGATGCCGAATGCAGGATGTTCACAGGCCAGTGAGTAGAAAGTCTTTGGATCCAGTGGCGTTGTAAGCATCTCAGCACTAGCAGGGGTCTCTATGGGGCTTCTCCAGTTCCCAGGGCATGGGGTCTATCAGCGTAGTGCCATGTGTCTTGTCAGTAGAGAGCCTCTAAGAGAGTGAGCAGAGAGAGTCTCTCCCACCTCCAAAGAAGAAATGCTGGAGTTCCTAAAATTCTCAGAAGATGGCCATACCCACACAGAGGTCTCATTCCTTATGACCCGATTGACAGACTAGACTCCACCCCTTCACTCTTAATTTCTCTCAAGTCCCAAATTGACACCAGATTATGTAACTACCACAGACCACCTCTTGTCAGTTTGACATTTTCATACAATTGTAGCCTTATATAATTGTCAAATAATAAAATCATATCTGTACCTAACAGGATATAACTAAAATGCATATAATTCAATATATGCCACTCTCATTTAAACATAACATTCTATAAGTGACAAAACAAAAATTTTCTATGCTTAACAATTGCAGTTAAGTAACACCTACACCTTAATCCTATAATCCTATGAATAGATTTCCCCCACCTATGAAAGTTGGTAAGCCAGCCACTTCATGCCTTTATCCCCCAATTTTGAGTATTTAATTTCTCTACTGCTCACTTATATCCACCCAGTGATCTGAGGGGACAATCATATTATTTGATGTGAAGAATCTTCATTCCAATTGGAATCTTATGATAATGTCAATTTTAAGGTACTGCTTGCAAACACATGGTTGCTTACCACCCCGTTTCCCCGAAAATAAGACAGTGTCATATTAATTTTTGCTCCCAAAGATGTGTTAGGTCTTATTTTCTGGGGATATCTTATTTTTCCATGAAGAAGAATACGGTACACATTTATTGTTTATTGTTTTATTAAAAGAGACCTCGCACTTCCTGTCTGCTCTGGCTGTGCTGCGGCCAACAGTGAGCTGCGTGGCAGCGCCCGCCACTATGGTCCAGATACCAGAGTTACGGTAGGGTAGCTTTGGGGGGGCCTTATTTTGGGAGAGGTCTTATTTTCAGGGGGATGCCTTATATTTCAGCGAGAGACAAAACTGTAAGTAGGTCTTATTTTGGGGGGATGTCTTACTTTCGGGGAAACACGGTATACATTTGAAGGTTATCTGCTGAAGGCTACCTGCCTGAAGATTGTCTGCCATCAAGAGCAATCAGACCACCACACCCTATGTACAGCCCACTCCCTTCTGATAAGGATCATAGATTGCTCCCTGGAGAAGAGCTCAGGGACACTTAAGGTCAAGTCAGCTCAGAGATGACCAAGGTTAAGCCGCCATCTTAAATCTAGAACCTGCCCATCTCGTTAGGTATGTGCCTTCCTGTCACGGGTATGTCCCTAATACCTCCATTAGCTGTTACATTATGCCCTTAGTCCATCCCCTTCCTGTTATGTGTATGTCTCTAATACCACCCCTTTCTGTTTTGTATATGTATGATATGGCTTTCTAGCCCAAGATTATATAACCTTGTTAAGAGAATATATTACTCTCTCTCCCAGACCTGGTTCCTGATTGCATAGAGGAGGTAGCCTCCTCTGCAGAATCAAGAGGACAGTGACAGAGATGAACACAGGGCTGGACTAATAAGTATCCATAGGACAGAAGGCCTCAAAGTGAAAATATTTGTGTTCCAGCTGGTAAGACCCATGTGTGTGGTTGCCAATGATGTTTTTGAAAAGGAGGGAAAAAAGTGATCTTCGCCTTCATTTCTAATACCAAGGCTATATTTTCTAACTTTGTTCCATATTTTTCTCTTTGTTTCCAAGTTTCATACCAATAATTATTAATGAATCTTACTGCATATTTAATCAATTTCAGATGAAAGACGTTATTGCTATGAACTTACAGTGATCCTGTATACAACAGAATGAAAATCACCTGGTCTTGGGCCGTCTTCACAATTGTTCTTACGCTTGAGCCCATTGCAGTCACCGCATCAATCTTGTCAAGGGTCTTCCTCATTTTCAGTATCCTTCCACTTTACCCAGCATGATCTCCTTTTCCAAGAATTGGTCTCTCTTGATAACAAGTCCAAAGTACGTGAGATGAAATCTTGCCATTACTTCTAAGGAGCATTCTGGCTGCACTTCTTCCAAGACAGATTTGTTGGTTCTTTTGACAGTCCACCATACTTTCAGTATTCTTCACCAGCACTGTCATTCAGATGTGTCAATTCTTCTTTGGTCTTCCTGATTCAATGTCCAACTTTCAAATACATATGAGGCAATTAAAAATACCATGACTTGGGTCAGACACACCTTAGTCCTCAAACCAACATTCTTGCTTTTCAAAACGTTAAAGAGTGTGATAGTTATATAATCTGTTGTCAATTTAAGACTTAAGAGTGAAGGGGTAGAGTTTAGTCTGTCAATCAGGTCGCAGCTTGATAACCTCATTTGGAAGCACTAAGGAGAAAATAGCTTTCGAGGAGGGACACAACACTCCATCCCCCCCCCCCCCCCCCCCCCACTGCGAGACATTCCTATTGAGAGGACACATGGAGCTATGCTAGAGCCCCGGCCAGCACTGAGATGCTTATACTGCCACTGGATCCACAAGACTTTTCACCCCCTGGCCTGTGATCTTTCTGCATTCAGTGTCATTGCATGTGTTTCATGAGTATGAAAAGGAATTTATAGACTGGTAACAGACATGTGGGCAAATATCGGATTTACAGACTTGATCTGGATTGGGCAGGGATGTTGTCTTAATCTAGGTTCATTCTTTACACATTCCATGTACTGATTATTAATGGATGTTTGCATCTGTTTCTTCTCACCAACAGCAGGTAGAAGTCCTAAGAGATTTGCTCCATCTTCATCATTAGGGTCAACTCTAGTTGAGGAGACAGCTCTTCCCCAGATGTATTTTTAGTACCTTTCCAACCTGAGATGCACTATCTCACACAATATTCCATGGCCATTCATAATCTCTCAGAAGAGGAGAACCCATTTCTATTTTTCCAGTTTTTCTTAATGTGGATTTCACCTGAAATCTGTTCACCACAGGTGATCCTGCTGATATTTGAAATATTAATGGCCCATTTCAAATATAATTTAACGAGAATATTTATTAAATCTTAGACAAAGACAACACAAAGACACAGACCCATTATGCAGAGGAAGGAGAAATGGCATCCAAGGGTTTGTTGAGATAACAAACTTTAAAAAGGGCATGGGTGGGCAAAGAAGTTGTCACAAAAACATGATTGGTGACATAAGAATAAATAAATCACAATTACAGATAGGACTACAGAAGCAGGAACAAGATCATGATCAGAACACGTGCATTGTTAGATAGAAGTATGTGTTAGGCAGAATTCTCTAGGGAAACAAAACCAGGACACATATGATTAGATAGATAGATAGATAGATAGATAGATAGATAGATAGATAGATAGACAGACAGATAGATTGATTGATTTATATAGCACGAAGGAATAGAACAGCTAATTAGTCCAAACCAGTACAGAAGGCTCAGTTCAACTCATTTCCATAGAATAGTTAATATGCTGGAAGTTAATATACTTCCATGGAATAGTTAATATACTACTGGAAGTCCTTCAATTCATGAGGGCTGCCACTCCTAAGCAGACAACCTAGTCATCCCTCAGGCAATGCAGGCAAAATCCACCCACAGGCAGAAAACGGGGGGGAGGGGGGGCGTAGGGGGGGCTGGGGGGGGATATCACCAATACC